GCCCCAATATATTTCCTACATGAACATTTTATAGATGATGAAACTAAAACACTTGATGGCAGCTGTTGGTGCCTTTAAGCAGCACTCAGGAGGCAGAGGCAGGAGGACCTCTGTGAGTTCAAGGACAGTCTGGTCTACATAGTGAGTTCCAGAACAGCCAGGGCTATTTCAAGAGACCCCGTCTAAAAAATAAAAACAAAAACAAACAAACAAACAAACACAACAAAAAACTACAAATAGCACGGTGCAGATTTTCAGACAAGAGAAGTCCAAACTTAATGTTCCAGGAAGGGTAAAACAAGCAACTGTTCTTGCAGATGTACTCACGGGACTCTCATTGAAACATGGCTCCCAGAGTGTCTTTCAACCACAACAGTCAATAATTTGCTTTTCTGTAACTGCTCTTTCTTTTGTAAATCTTAGGAAAAGCGACCAATTCTGAACTAAGTAACTTAGCACTCAATTAAAACTAACTTCATACTATATGACTCAGGCAGTCTTCAACAGATGGACATGTGGCCACTGCTTAAGGCCAAGTATGGTCACGGAAACTGTCTTCAAAGCCAGAAGCAACCGCAAACAATAAAGAAGTAACAAAGGAAGCAAGCAGTGAAGCTCTTCATTCAGGCTGTACACAGGTCATGTGAAAAGTAAAATCAATGAATCGGCAGCCAACCAAAAAAACAAAAACAAAAAACAAAACAAAAAAAAAACTGGAAACAAACCCCAGCACCCCAGCACACGCATACACAAAGAGGTCAGCATGTGACCTCTCAAAATGGGAGCCACGGTGTTCTGGACCATACAGTTTTCAGATAGATGAATAAAACAAAGAATGTCAAATGTGCTGGGATAAAAACTGTGGTCAGCATGTAATACATGAAAGAAGTAAAAAGAAAACAGAAAAATAAAAAATAAACAAATCAAATGGTACCTGGAAAATGCCTGGTCAGGACAGTGTGTAAGCAGTAACCACTGTTGTGTTGAAGGAATTGCTGTCAGCGGAATCTGGGGCCATGACCCAGGTTTTCATGCTCTCACTCCGTAGCCTCACCCGCTCTGGGTAAACCACCCTCTTCTCATTTGAACTACACACTTCTGTACTATAACCTGGTTGTCTTTTCTGCCATTTCCTGCCTTTGTGTTTTATGACGCTTTTCTTTGAGATGTTTTAGTTAAATTCGAAATCCATAAACCCTTTCTGATAAGAGCCAGGCGTTGACGAGTTTCAGGAAATGGGGGCCATATAGTGTGTCAACTCCAGAATGACTCAACTTTCTCTAAGTGTATAAGCAAATGGGTGTGGCTATATTCTGTAATGCCAGCACTCAGGGAGGCAGAAAAAGGCAGATCTCTGTGAGTTCAAGGCCAGCCTGGTCTACAAAGTAAGTCCAGGACAGCCAAGGCTACATAGAGAAACCCTATCTCAAAGAAGCAGAAGGAAAGGAAGAAGAGGAGGAGGAGGAGAAAGAAAGAACAAAAGAAAGAAAAAAAGGAAGGAAGGAAGGAAGGAAGGAAGGAAGGAGGGAGGGAGGGAGGGAGGGAGGGAGGGAGGGAGGGAGGGAGGGAGGGAAGGAAGGAAGGAAGGAAGGAAGGAAGGAAGGAAGGAAGGAAGGAAGGAAGGAAGGAAGGAAGGGAAACACAGGTCCCATCACTAAAATGCTCTTTTTAGAAGCAGCTGAAGTGGAAAGTACGTTCTCTGGTAAGCAACACAAGGAAAGAATTCTTCTGGACTACGATAGACCTAGGTCTGGTTATAGTTCAGGAGTGAAAGCGCTTAACGAAATGAGTCCCTGGGCCCAACACCTAGCACCGAAAAGAAAAAAAATGACAACCTGGGTCTAAATTCTTCGTCGACCATTCAGTACCATCAAATATAGGCAGGGAAATGCTCCAGCGGATGAGGCTCACTTTCTGCACTTCTCAAGTGCGAACAAAGGTAACTGCTATGTGTGTGTGTGTGTGTGTGTGTGTGTGTAAGCCTGTGTGTCCACACAAGTCTGTAGGCATGAGTGTGTACCTGCATGTGTTCCATATCAGCTTTACTGACACAGAATGATGAGCTCTCTCTCTTAGCTACAAAGTTATGTTTTCAAAATGCGCACATTTCTGAAATCCGGGCACCAAAAACACTAAAGTAGTCCTTATGTCCTGGACATGCTGGCCACGACCTAAACACCCACACAGAGGCAGAGAGTCGGATGGTTCCAAGCACTGGGATGCCGCGCTGCCTCCGGCTCCCCGCGCAGGGCCTGCTCTCCACACAGGCACCGTTCCTTTGCTTACTTCCCCATTACAACAACCGGCATGATCGAGTGTCCAACTAAGAAGTGATTGTTTAATAAAAAATTTGCAATTCCCCGAAGACCCAAGCACTTAGACGCTGGAAGACTTCGTCATTCCTCTGACCTGAGGTTATATGCCAGCTAACACAGAGTCAACAGATCTAACGGGAAGAGTCTTAAGTGGTGTGATTTTGCTAATTAATTCTGCCTGCTCAACTATTTGTTTTAGCATCATGAAAGGTACCAGGGAGACTACACGGAGCTCCCCATTTGTTGGCACAATTTTGCTGGTCACTGTTTCATTACTCACTGTTAATCATGTTCTGAAGTTACTATTTGGGAAACTGCCCTAAATAAATGATTCATTTAAAAAAAATTGATAGCATGTAGGATTTGATACTACCCACATAGTATCAAATGTCAAATCTTAAATGTCGTATCAAATGTAGTATCTTAAATGTAGATGGAACATCTTGCAGAATATGCTCATAGACAAGGCAAGACTGCATTCGTACAATCTGTTTGTTTGTTTGTTTGTTTGTTTGTTTGTTTGTTTGTTTTTCAAGACAGGGTTTCTCTGTGTAGCCCTGGTTGTCTAGAACTCACTCTGTAGACCAGGCTGGCCTTGAACTCACAGAGATCCACCTGTCTCTGCTTCCCCATGTGCTGGTATTAAAAGCGTGCACCATCACAGCCTGGCTTGGACAACCTAGTTTTATGTCTTTGGTATAAAGAGGCTGTAAACTTAGGGCCAATCCAACAAAAAGTGGGCTTCGCAAAAGGTCTGTGATCCCCAGTAGAAGAAAGACATGTGGAGAAAGGAGAAACGGAAGTGACACCTGCTTGAAATCGCCAGGGTATTACTGACACTGGAATTTCAGCTAACCTCAGGGAAAAGCCTGAGGCTGTCGGAATAACCAACAGACATGAGCTACAACTAAATTAGTTGAAATTCCAAGGAAACCAAAGCCTGGCAAATTTAGACACAGGCACCAAAACACTAGCTTCACCTTCCTTTGCCGACTCTGGTCGCAGAAACATCTTTTTTTAACATCATTATTCATCTACACCCTGTTTCTCAAACTCTGGAGTCCAACAAAACCACCTTATAGAGCTTGTAAAAAAGTTGGTCCCAGGCCTGACCTAGTGACTCCGATTCTTCAACTGTGATGCCCAGTTCTCCTTGAGAGAAGCTCACATGAGCATGTCTTCACTAACTGAGACTGGAAATAACAGATTTCCAAAATCAGGTATTAATTATCAGGAACCAAGGCTGACCAAACTGAGCTCTTAGAAACAAGAAACATGATTGATTCATATCTGCAATTTCTTTGTATGAGCAGAATTACTTTTCGTTTTGCTCTGTCTCCCTCACAATGGCTACATATTCTGACACACAAGCACACGCGCGCACACACTACACGCCACAAAGCGGGCTCCTGGGGTCTCTTGCTCAGCGCAGGGGCTGCCTGTCACACATACTTGACCTGCATGGAGCATACTCAACAGTTCTTGTTCCGTCCTGAAGAAAGCAAGTGCCGACCGGCTCTCTCTCCTCCTTCATCTCCGTCCTCCAGTGGTACAACGGAGCGCAGGCCTGAGATTCAAAGGTTTAGTCCATTATACAAGAATCCTCTGAAACATGAATAATCCCGGTATCCACGCTACCTCAGACTACTGAAAAATTCAAACCTCGTCTCTTCCTCATTACAGGAGCAAATAAAGGTTGTAAAAAGAAGTGGGGTTTTTTGTTGTTTGTTTTTTGTTTGTTTGTTTGTTTGTTTTTAGATCCTTCTCTGAATCAAAGCCTTTTAGGCAAAGTCAGGGGTGGACTTTTCTGAAGACTATACTTGTAGTCCACAATTCGTGTTTCCAGCTGTCAGCAAAGCTCTTGTTTCAAGTACCATTGTTTCCAGGTGCTGTGAGCTGAGCTGAAGGTCGCAGATTGAGTCAACTTTTGGAAGAAATCACATCCTCACGCTTGTAGGAGATACCCCTAAGTTACACAACAAGCAGTAAGAGAAGCAGCAAAAATTCCCTGCAGGGCTTCTCCTCTGTACTTTCCAAAGGTCTGATCTCAAAGCCACGTAGAAGCCATAAAATAATGAGTGTTTTAGTGACATGTAAGACTTGCAAAAATTCAACAATTTAAGCTGCTAGAAGAAAGCTCATATTTCTAAAATAACCTTTTAAGAGAAACCTGACCTTAGACTATTTCCTATCCACTCTGATGAAGCTAAAAGCAGGAACTGTTACTTCTCTGCATGTCCCCGACTGCCCAGGGTGGACAAGCATTTTCTGCTTGGTTTTGCTTCATACATCTTTCTGCCCCCGACACCCCTTCTCACGTCAGCTCTAAGGCCTATCGTGTGACATGTCCTCTTTAAAAGCACAGAAACATTATGGGAAAAGAGTTGTTTGAATCCCAGGTGTAGAATACGGGACTGCTTCAGACTGTCCACAGTAGCTGACTGTGATCTGCCTTGTTCTCAGGCAGGGGAATGACTTTGCCAGCTGCACACAGTTTACATTTGGAATTCTGGGGACTCTTGAGAGGGTATTTAAAGGAAGATCAAATTTGCCCCAAAGAACTCTACGTCCCTAATCAGCAGGAAGTAGTCTAATGATACTGACACCCCCTTCCCTTCTGTCTTTCTCTCCTACTTAGTGTTGGGGGGGATAGGGTGGTATAGGGAGAGAGGAAAAACAACCCAAAGAAGTAGCCAAAAGTCTGGCTACAGTCCTCAAATGTCCTCCTGAAACCTCAACGCTTTAACAGATGTTTTCCTAATTCTTCATCATCATATTACAAAATGGTAAGTAAAAATAAAATAATTAAAGAGGAATCCTGAGAAAATGAAATTAAAAATGAACACTGAATGAAAGGAGATGGCTGAATAAAAATTAACAAAACACTCTCTCGGTAGAAGGCACATAAACACTAGGTACTGACTGAAATGACCTGGTATATGAAAGAAATAAACCCACAGACACGCGTCATTGGCGTATTTATGATAGATAGAGGTAACACAGAAAGACAACCTATACCCTGTGCTGGCTAACTTTTATGTCAACGACACAGGCTAGAGTCATTTTTGGAAACAAAAACATTAACTGAAAAAAAAAAAAATGCCTTCACCAAATTAGCATGTGGGGCATTTTATTCATTGTCTATTGCTGTGGGAGGTCACCCCTGGGCTGTGGTCTGGATTGCTATGAGAAATCGGGCTGAGAAGCCGTCAGACACAACCCAGGAAGCCGCACTCCTCCACAGCCTGTGCTTCAGCTCCTGCATCTCGTTCTTTGCCTGACTTCTCCGATCATGGACTCTAAGGGGAAACTGTAACAGAAACGAATCTCCCCCTGAAGCTGCGTTTGGTCATCGTGATTTTTATCACAGCAATACAACCCCTAACTACAAAAAAGCGCCTGATTTTAGTGATACTTGTATGCCAGTTTGGTCAAATTCAGAGATAGATAGCCACTTGTTTTCATCAAGACAGGGAAATGCTGAGGCCCCGAGGAACTGCTATGCAGAAGAGGTGGTAGTTCGGGCGTGAGAGGAAGCTGAGAGAGGAGAGGAGCAATGAGCATGAGGAGGGGCAGTAGTTTCCTGCAGGGCAGATAACGAATACGGAGATCTATCAACAGATGCATTGTGGAGGTGGATATATTTTTATAGGAATCACTAATAGAGTAGGAAGCCACGCCTCTCAGCAAGTTGGAGAAGTCCTTCAGAGATAAGCTACTTGTGCTGTCTGTTCATGCTCCTTGAGAGAGGGTGAAAAGAATCCCACTTTGACCACACTCATTCAGAGTATTGCATCAGTCAGACAAGTAAGAACGGTAGATAGATAATATAGGAAGGTCCCTATACAATGTTTCGGCCAACCATTAGCTAGAGATGTTGATTTGGAGATTACGATACACAGATTTTAAAAGAAGCCTCTAGGCCAATGGTTTAGCTAGAGAAAGCAATGGAGCCTTTAGCAGGCTCAAAAACAGCGCAGCACTTAGGAAGCTGGTAGAAAAAGAAGCACTACCAGAGACACTTAAGGAGAGAGCCAGATGGGGGACAACATGAACGTGCAGGGTCACATTAACCAAGAGGAGAAAGACTGAGCCTGGCATGGAGGCACACACCTGTCATCTCAGAGCATGGGAGGGAAAGGCTGAAGACTGTCGGTTCAAGACAGCCCAGTTACAGAGTGAGCGCTGTGTAGCCAGCGTTCGCTGCTTTGTGGGTCCCTAACTTTCTTCCACCCTTCTTTAGCCTTATTCCACCCTTCCAACCCCTGAACACTAGGTAGGAGAGAAAGAAGGATGGGGGGGCGGGGAAGTCATTATCATGAGACTACTTCCTGCTGGTTAAGGGCCCTGGGTTTGCCCCCAGAATTCCAAACGTCATGCACTGGCAGAAACACTCTGCAGCTGGCAAAAATCACACCCCTGCTAGAGCATAAGGGAAATCATAGTCAGCTGCTGTGGACAGTCTGAAGTAGCCTCATATCCCACACCTGGGATTAAAACAGAAACCAATATCCCCATAAAATTTCCGTGTTTTTAAAGAAACTTGTCTCAAAATGGGGGTTGGGGGACTTAAAAAGTGTGTAGAAGGGAGGGAAGGTGGCAGAAACGGCTCAGAGAAGGCTCATGACTTAGAGGCACTAGCTGCTCTTCCGGAGGAACCAGGATAAGCCCCCGCCCTCCACATGGCAGCTCACAGCCGTCTGTAAATGCAGTAACAGGGGATCTTCTTCTGGCCTCAGTTAGCACGTGGTGCAGAGACATACAAGCTGGCAAAGCACCCACACATAGAAAATAAAATTATTCTAATTTTTCTTAAAGGTATATGCAGCTGGCAGGCACTACGACGATGGTGGTGGAGCACGTGGTGGAGAGATGAAAGAGAAACGGCGTGGATTTGTACACAAAGAGAGGCAGAACGGGAGGCGCAAGGGCAGTGAGGAACGGCCGGGTGTGAGTAGCCTGCACTGCCACCTGAGGCCATGCTGATGTCCTGGCCATGCTGCCGCCAAGGGCCATGTCTGTGTGCAGGGGTCTGTGTGGTGCGGATGTCCCGGCTCCTGTTACCACCAAAGACTGTGCAGACATGTTGATGTCTGAGGACGGCGCTGAACACGCCCTGCCCCTCGCCGGCCACTGCACAGTGGCACCAGCGGTGACATGGGAGCAGCAGACCTGGGCAGAGCCGGCAGGCTGACCAGCTCAGCCACCATCCAGGCCCATGCTCAGGGATTTGAGATGGCCCACCCTAAAATCTACTCCAACTGTGAACTGCTAGTGTGGAGGGGCTAGTCCTGCGGAACCAAAGCTATAGGATCTCCATGACCCAGGGCAACACAGATATCCAAGAGGTGTGTTGGCGGGGTCCAGCACTGGTAGCCAGAGGCCTGGAAGCAGAACAAGGTTCATTACAATGAACATTTGCAAGTAAAGCTGTTTGGGTATTCTGTGGGACACATCACCACACACTACAGCTTCCACAGAGGGATTCTTTATTTTATTTTTAATTTTTATTGTCTTTTGCAGGGGAGGTTACAAGCATGGAGGGCAGATATGGAAAGACGGGAAAATGAGTGGCATTGAGGTATATGATGTGAAATTCATATAGGAAAAATAAAGAATTATGCAAATAAATAAATAAGAAAGTGGGGGGAGGACAGAGGTTTTCTTTTTTCAGTGGTGCCAAAGAACAAGAAAGATAAGATCTAAGTAGCCAATAAGAAAATAAAACATCATGGCAGCATGCATTTCTTTAAAAATGATATAGCAGTAAAATTTCAGTAATCTTGAAGTCAGAGTGACGAGGTCTTGCTTCCTCATGTCTGTCTCAGGTTACTAGGAGGAGAACATTAGAAATGGAGATGGTTCGTGTTAAAAAAGGACATTTTAAACTACTGCTTAAGCAGAGGAAGAGGGCAGAAGGAAAGACTAGAGAGTCGTTTACAGGTTTGCTTTGTTTTGTTTTTTTAAGTGTGAAAGCATTTGATTAGCCAAAGGTATTTTATTCCCAAACATGACAGACAGAAAGAAACTGACGGGGACTACCAAATGGAGCAGGAATAAATGAAGAGCGTGGGCAGGAGCACAGAAGCGGCAGCAGCCTGGTCTCGGGAGGGAAGAGTGAGAGCATGCTCAGAGAGACAGCCTTTGATCAGAGCTCTGATTTCATTACACCTTGTCCCACTGGACAGACCAAATCTTACTACCAACTTGACCATACACAACTTCCTGTGCGCCCCATAAACCAGCCCCACTCACCTGAGGTAGAATCTAAGGACTTACCAAGATTTTGTCCTGCTTTGACCTCACAGAGGCGCCAAACCACTGGTGAGACTTAAACTCCAGTGGGTCATCTTTGGCAAAATCTCGATTACCTGGAAAGGAATGTTGTGAGTGGTCAGAAACAAGACAGACTGCTCTTCGTACAAGAGGATTCATCTCTGTCCAGCCAGGTTTAGAAGAGTGTACCTTTTGGGGGGGTAGGGGCACATGCCCTTAGTCCTAGCACTTGGGAGGCAAATGGATCTCTGTGAGTTCAAAGCCAACCTGGTCTACACAGGGAGCTCTAGGATGGCCAGAGCTGCATAGTGAGCCCCTGTCTCAAAAAAACAAAACAAGACAAAAAGTGTTGTCCCTTCGACTAGTCAAACACTTTGACCACATTGCAGTTGCTCGTGTCTTTTACATAGCCCAGGAATGTTAGTTGGTCATAAAAGTGTGGTGGGCCATAAAGATGACTCAGAGCGTAAAGTCCTTGCTGCTCTTACAGAGAGAACTGGGGCCCAGGACCCATCTGGCAGCCTACAACCATGTGGAACTCCAGTCCCAGGACACCCTTTTCTGATGTCCCTGCACATACATGGTACACAGACATACATACAGGGAAAACACCCATACACATATTATTAAACCCAAATCTTTAAGAAAAAAAAAAAAAAAGAAAATTCATGGAAGTGTCTCAGGTTTGCTATTCACACCATCAGTTACCATACCACAGATGTGGGAAAGTGACTGGAAGCCAGGCTTTCCAGATAAATTCTTTAAATTGTTAAATAATTATAACTGTGTTCCCAGGCATTCCTGCCACAGCGTAAAGACATAGATGACTATCACAGCACATGGATTTCTTAGGAATGGAAGCGAGTGGCGAATCAAGGTCAATGTAAAGATGGGCCTGCGTGCCACAAAGAAAGACCTCTGCTAACAGTCTGGCTTCTCTCCTAAAGAAGGCTTTCAGGAACATAAAGCATGTGCTTTCATCCGCAAACGTCTAAGATACACTAAACGTATCACTGAAATGCTCATGCACCGGTTTTCCTCCAAGCAATAATCAGGGAGCGCAGATCTCTGTACCAGTCACCTTGAGTGTTTTACAGCACCCACTCCACAGCCACATCCTAGTTCAGTGAATCTCTTGTATCTCCTGCTGTTTCCAATGCAGAGCTCTCCGGGTCTGATTTACAAAGCCTTTGTGCCCCTCAGCCACACCCATGTGTTCTTCCAGTCCACACCCAAATCTCAACAAAGCATGTCGCCACAGACAAGGACACAGGTCCATGGAGAAATTAAGGTGGCAAATCCTCTGAGCACACGACTGTTATTCTGTGGACATACTTTTGCCCAAGCCCCAAGATATGCTCATGTTGGTACCTAAGCCTTCCCTTACACCAGTCTTCAGTCCAGCGAACTCAGGAGTCTCATTTCTACACACAGCCTTTATAGTCAAGGCTCGTTTGCCTGGAAAACTTCCTTCTTGCCCCTTAAAATTCTGTGATGACATCCCCCGAAAACTCAGATGCTGCTCATTCATGACCTAATTCATGACGCTACGGTTTCTTAATGGAACATGTGTCTAATACAGTGCAATCATGAGAACCTATGGGTACACTGTTCAGTACCAACCAAGGAACTAAGACCAGCAGTTCCTAACCTTCCTAAGGCTGCAGAGTTCTTCATGTTACAGTAATTCCTGACTGTAAAACTTCTTGTTGCTACTTCATTCCTGTAATTTCTGCTGCTGTTATGAATCATAATGTGAAGATCTGTGTTTTCTGGTGGTCTTCTGGAGGCAGGACGTCACTAAGCATTGCATAAAGATTCAGACGCTGATTGCTGTGCCCCTCAAATCTGGTTGCAATCCCTGCTCTGAGAATCTCCTGTTTAAACACTGTTCCCCAATTCATCCCTGATATGTCAATAAAGCAGCTTAACAGCCAATCACCAAGCAGGAGAGAGAATAGGTATGGACTTCTGCCAGCCAGGGGAGGAGAGAGTGAAAGGAAGTGGGGCCTGATCCACCAGGAGAGGAGACATGAGCAGAGAGCAGGTGGAGCGCAGACAGCCATAAAAAGCAAGTATCTCAGGGATTTATGCTGGGAGGAAGCCAGACTTGGAAGGTTAAAAATAGATGAACCCTGCTCAGTCCTTTTGCCATAAAGCATGTTAAATAGTCCAGCCTCAGTTATGTGGGTGCTAGCCGCGTGAAGAAAGGAACTGCCACACGATTTTAAAACCACCACTAACAGTGTTAGGCGACCCCTGAGTAAGGGTCATTGGGAGCCTCCTTCCCTCAAAGCGGTTCACAACCCACAGGTTGATGAACCAGAGTTCTAGCCTAAGAGAAGGTTTGTGCAGAGACATGTAAGAATATTAAGATTGTTTTCTACATTAGGGGAGGAAACGTCAGAACAGCAGTTGTCCAGGGCCTTTTGGCCATGCTGAGAACGGCCTCCCGGGATTTTCAAGCTCCTTCTTTGCTGTCATTTTTCTTCAGTTATCTTAGTCCTGGATGTTTGGAAGAAGTTTCCTCTTTGTGAAATGTTATTTAATTACTCCACTTTCCAAAACTGTCTTAACAAATGTTTTTCTCAACAAGTATACTTTGTGCTAAGTCAGTATGCAGCCACGCAAGCCGCTGTTGTGTGCCTTCAAGTAGCAAAAGCTCATCGCTGTCTCTTAAAAAAGCAAGCGAGCAAAGGGAGAGCTGGAGAAACGGCTCGGATGTTATGTGTGGGCCCTACTCTTCCAGAGGACCCAAGTTCAGCTCCGAGCACCCATGCAGGGAAGCTCACAGCCTCGGGGCATACAATGACCTCTGAGGACACTGGCACACACATGGCACACACCCACTCACAGACATTCAAAAACATACAATTAAAAGTAAAAAATACATCTTTGAAGACAGTATAGAAACATAGTAACACAGTATAGAAAACACCTTCTCCTATACCTTTTGAAGTCCCGAGCCACCCGCTATCCCTGGGGCACAGTGGGTCCCCAGGACGCACCTTCCTCTGGCTCCAAGGCCCCCTCCCTTGGAACCGGGACTCCAGGTCAGCCCTGACCTGGAAGAGCAGAGGCTGGACTCCTTCCTGAGCCTGCAGGAGGAGCACTGCACAGACGGGGTACAGGCAGGCCCGGGGCAGCTGCTGTCCTCCGCCTCACCCCGCCAGGCAGAGTGCTCACCAAGTCACAAGTCTCCTACAGAACACTGAGGACATCTGCCTGTGCGGAAGCACCCCTTGTCTGACGGGAGCAATAAGCACACTTTTCTGCGCTTTTTGGAAAGCGAATCTGGTTTTGAGGAAGGAAGAAGACCTTAGACTTTGGAAGCTGTCACGAACATCACGAGGAGAGACGTGGAGGGATGGGGTCCCTTTGACCTCGTGTATACCGCTCAGCACAACCCCTGGGCTACACCTGTGACGGCTGCCCTGCCTGGTACCAGCTTGAATCCTGCCGGGTTCTACAGTCCTCACGCACACACCCCGGGAGTCTGCAGCCCTTCTTCTAGATGTCAGTGGGCCGTCCACCGCCGAGTGACTGACCACCCGGATGTCAGGGGCAGCATCCCCCAGCATGCTGTGCGTGTGCGGAGCATCAGCGCAGGGCTGAAGAGCAAGCACCCGGGGCCCTGACACCAGAGGAGGAACAGTCCCTGCAAGCCCAAGTCAGACCCAGGGCCACACAGGTGCCCGAGACTGGGCCCCCTCTGAAGAACTGCACTTTCCCCGGGGGAGCACTTCAAATGTTTTTCTCAGCACTCACTTCCTCTTCACAGATGAATCCCACAATGAAAAGGGAGGCAGCCTTCCTCCTCTGGCTTTTCCCCTCTGCAGTTCTCTTCCGTTTGCTTGCTTGCTTTTGGGTTTCTCTGTTTTTTTCCCTCGATGCGGCTGACTGTGGGGTGGGAGGGACTCACCGTGGTGGACGTGATCCTAAGGGGACAGTCCACAGTGTGTCCCCAAGTGTCTGCGTTCCTGTCGTGACACTTAAAGTATTTTGTAGGATTGTTAAAAAGACAGAAAGAGAAAATTCTTTTGTTTGCTTGTTTTTTTTGTTGTTGTTTTTCAAGACAGGGTTTCTCTGGAGCCCTGGGTGTCCTAGGACTAGCTCAGTAGACATGGTGTTTTTTGATGAAAGCAGAAATTGTAAAAACTAATTTAAGGTGGGTATGTAATCCTAGCACTCAGGATACTAACAGAGGTAAAACATGAGTGTGAGGCTTGTCTGCTTAGCTTAATAGCAAGTAGAACCACTGTCTTTAAGATAGATAGATAGATAGATAGATAGATAGATAGATAGATAGATAGATAGACAGACAGACAGACAGACAGACACTAAAAGGCTTGGTTTCCTTACGGAAACGGTTCTCAACCTTTTTAATGCTATAACCCTTTAATACAGTTCCTCATGTTGTGGTGAACCCCAACCATAAAATAATTCACTGCTACTTCATAGCTGTAATTTTGCTACAGTTATGAATTATAAATTCCCTGGAGAGAGAGGTTTGCCAAAAGGGTTGGGACCCACAGACTGAGAATGACTGCCCCAGGAAAAGTGGGAACCACTTATTTAAAAAATGACCGTCCGCTTCTCTAACACTTAAAGATGTTCAGACTGAATAACCATGCCCTAAGCAACATGTGATTCCTTTTTCCAGTTACACAGTTGGAGAGACAGTGAAGGTTAAAGCACTGGCCCTCCTCTGGAGGACCCCAGCTCTCCAGGATTTCCAGCACCCACATGGCGGGACTCAACCATCTGTACCTCTCGTTCCGGAGCACCCAAGGCCTCTTCTGACTTCCATAAGCACTGCACATAGGATGTACATATGGAACACGCAGCCACAACACTCACCACATAAAGTAAACACAAATAAATCTTTACAAACTCTCCAGTTATATCGCTAAACGCAGCTGATACAATGCACTGGCCTACAGTCGCACCCAAAGTTAAGTCAAGAACCATAAAAATACCCAGACACACACTGCTCAGCAGTCACAACCTCAAATCGCCACCCTTTCAAGAGGCTTGCTCTACAGGAAGTCTGTCTTCACTCATCAGAATTTTCTCTGCAGAGCGCAAGTCTTAA